TATATATATATAGTATATATATATATATATATATATACATACATACATATATATATACATATATATATATACATTTATAACTATATATGAATGCGCATACGTGTATATGTGTAAAATACATATTGTATATGTAAATATCGCATCGCAGTATCACTTTGAGTCTAAAAAGTATGTTTAACTTAGAACGTCTGAATCTGGCATTTTGTTACAAAATCTTAATGCAGTCCTACTTTGAAGCCTATGTCACACACGCTGATTTTTCTTTTAAGTACTTTAAATATATTTATTATTACCTATTACCTTCGGTACATACATGTTAAATTTAATATTAAATATTATAACAAATCAAAGATTTAACATGTGAATTTATGATGAATAATTTGATAATACATGATAATAATTTATAAATATCGTGCAAATCTGTGGAATCGTTAAAAATTAAAAGGATTTAAGAACATTTTTTAATTACATTGTCTTGATGCAATCAGACGATTCTTTATATCATGTGCAAGCCTGTATCATTGTCTGTACATATGTAATTTATGTTTCTAATTTGTACAAATGCAACATATTAATCCCATTAAAGAAACTTCGGGTATCAAAACTAATCACCGATCATCCTAAGACGAATTATCGTTAGGCTGCCTCGATTTTTATGTTTTTGGATAATGAAGATTAAATAAATGAAAATTGGAGAGATAAAAAGATGACAATTGTATAATGCAATAACAATGTGTAGTAATTTGTGAATTACTTTAGAAAGTAACTGTGATTTTGCATGCCTCTTTGAGCTTATATTGCATTTATAAATCAGGACTACGAATAAATTAAAAAATTGTTAATTGTTAATTGGAAAATCATGAAATTGAGGTTTTATGAATGGTTGGATATAAAATTATATCATTTATGACTTGTGTATAAAAGAGGGCAGAAATGAATTGTTAAATATTTTATGTTTTAGGCGGATCAACTGTAATAAAATAAAAAATTGTAGATAGTTAGTTGAAGACAATGAAATTTATATTTTAAACGAGTATAAGATATTTTCTCTTTCCAGATGTATTCCTTCCTATTTGTTGAAAAGTATAGCATCTATTTTTTTTTCTACAAATTCTTTGTTTCATTTTTTTGTATTAATTTCATAATTATTCTAATCATTTGCCATATTCAATTACAGATATGCAAAAAGTACTATTTTTGTGAAAAATTGCAACTATTTTGGAGTAAATTTAATTTATGTGAAGGAACTGACAAATAATAAAAATATCATCTTATATGCTATATAAAAAATCATATTAATTGTTCAATTGTAGAATAAAGATTATATACCATGTCTAGAATCCAAAAGCGACAGGAAATAGGATCAGGTAATTTAGATCACCTAGATTCCTTGATGTTTACGCGTTCATGTTTATTTTAATTATAATTTCTTGATTCTTATCGTTCAAACAGGCAAAGAACAAATTTCAGAAAACGAAAGAAGGAACAGATGAGTCCAAAGTGCAGATGGGTCAGGATAAAACAGTGTGACAACTTACTAAAAAATCTAAAGGTTGGTACAATTGATCGGAAGCGTCAATTGAGGGGGCGCAACCATCGCTGCGCATTTCCGTTTCGCCATCTTTTTATCTTGGAAGCGTGCAGTTTCGCGTCTTCTCTTCTATCGTGAAGTTTTACGGAACATTGACTTGGTGAGTACTTTGATCAGATTGCTATATACCCTGTTCCGAAAAACAGAACATCGTGCTAAGGTAGTTAATGAAACATTACTTGGAATCGTTACGATATCGGCGGCACTTCGAACGGTTCAGGTTTCCCTTCGGTTCAGCCCTGCCTTTGTGCCGGTCCCGGATTTCGATCATTCGAGAAAGCTGAAATCTAGTTTCGATATTTTTAATTTGGGATTTGTCTTGCATCATTCAAGTCGCGATACGCGTCTGACGGCCAAAAGCCTGAACAAGTCCCCGATGAGTTCAATTTCTACGTGTTTCGTGCCGCCAGTTGTATTTCCATTGTCATGCAGCGTATTATTTTCGCGCGTCCGCGATGTCGAAATGTGAATTTATCTGGATTAGATTCGGTTCTAATTTTTTCTGTTTTTTTTTCTTGACAATTTATCAATTATTAATGTGTATTAATTACCGGCGTCATTTTGGCGAATTTATTTTTCGATTTTACGATAATTAATTAATGCGTCAATTGCCGCGTTTCTGTTGTAAATAAACGTGTGCAACTCATTCTTATACAGCGTCGGAATTTCAATTCGGCGAAATACACTAGTCGCGTCTGCAGCATCGGCGAGATTAAACTTATCGACAAGCGGCTTGATGACGCCGTCTCGCATTCTGTGAACTTGTTGTCTTTGTCACACTCGCTACACCTTTCGATCTTCATCCATTGCGGTAATTTTCCATGCCGCCTTGTTACTCGTCATGTCCGGAATCGTATTGAACAATTCTTGAATCTCAGTTCAACAATCATTGCACAAATACGATTATATTGTTCCTATTGATTTCGATTGTTGTCTGACATGCTTGTGTGTTATTCTCAAAGTTAATATTTCATAATGTACGAGCCCGGCGAGATTCTAATTATTCTTTGTGACGAATGCTACGAAATTTACGATTTGGCCGACCACCAACAACATTGTTTAAATATATACTCGTTCGAATATTCCAAAGCTGATTGCAATAATGTTTAATTCAATAAATGAGTAAGAAATTATTTTTAATCATAATTTTATCAAGACGTTTCTCTATAAACAGAAATGAAAAGAAAATGATTTGATTGATAAAAATTTGGCATTTGAGAGATTAATAGAGCGTACCTTTATAACTTGACGGTATTTCTAAAAATATTTGTCAATTGGTTAGCCAAGTTACTGTACTACCGTACAGTAATAAAATTTAATAGTTTTTACTATTGTATTATTTTTTAATATTAATTGGGTTGAATTAAAACAAATGGATTATTTATTCATTTATTTGTAATAAACGCTTCATTCCAAAATTTATATCGTAGCCTAAGACAAAATTTAATATCACAGAATGCGACAATACGTACAATCACTTCTACTCATCATAAGAGCGAACATGAGATTTACAATTAAATAATGTGGAAAAATGACAGTAGATGGCAATGCGATAGAGACGGCGCAGTAGGACTCCCGCGTTTACCCGGTATCGTTCATCATGCTCGTGTGTTTGCGCCTGCGTAGTAAATTGAGGGACGCGCAACGCGGCGAGTACGTCCGCCATTATTAGGTTGCACATTCTTGCCTTCGCATCTTGTTGAGATTGTGTATGAGAACCGGCTTCTTGTGAAGAATTTCGCTCATCTATCGTGACATTCGACGAGTCACGCAAATAGACATCTCGTGGGCATCTCGCGTCTACGCGAATTTTACGTGAAGCATCGTTCGTGTACGCAGCGTCGTAAGAAACATTCGACCGCAGGTACGTATCTTTATCGCCGGGTCGGTGTGGAGATTTTTCTCGTAGTCATGCACTAAAATGGCGTTTTCTCTTGAGACCGGGTATACCGCGAACGGTTCGATATCGCGAGAAAAACACGGATATGCTTGTGTAGAGGTTGGGAAGGGACGATTTTGCACGCGTTATAAGTAAATTGGTTAACCGCTCGTCAACGGATGGCAAGATGGAGGAAAGGAAGCGTCAGGGCCAAACAATCGCGTCATTCCGATTCTTTCCGATAGCACGGAAGGGCGCCGTCGTCTCGAGTCTGCGTCATCAAGCGTTGCGAACGAATTATTACGCGTGATTAGAACAAACGGAATGTTTTATTTGGAAAGGAAGAGAAGTTGAGTTTATATTTAATTGCCTGGAGTAATCTCAAACAAACAAAATTTAATACGACAAAATTCGTTATAGCTGTATTATCAATTTTGCTCTGGAATTGCGATGTTGATGCCGGCGTAATTAGAAGCAATTCTCAACGCTTACCATGAACAAATATGTAATCCACTTTTGTTTAGCGTCGAAATTTATCTTTCTATTATATTAGGTTACTTTAACGACTCTATATTGGCGGTGCCAGACATCTAGCGTTTGTAGAAATCTATAACAAAATGAATATGGTGGATATTTATGATACATATTTCAGGGAATTGTCGTCACATAGCAAAGATTACTATTGTGCACATGCATTGTTATGAAAAAAATTACAGCTACACTTATAAATTTATAATATAATTTGTGTCTTCTATCAATATTATGGTAATATTTCTACAAATTTACTGTAAAATATTTTAGCAATCAAAAGAATAACAATACTGAAATAAATTATATATATGCTTATTAAAGAGCTTAATTAAGATAAGTGATAGAAGAACATTAGTCCATATTCTAAATAAATGTCTCTATGATATTAGGTTCTCGCACGAGCCGCAAAATGCCGGGTTTTAGCAGTGTTGGCACATTTAAGATCTTCATTGGTAATTTAGCTGACAAAACTTCGAACGCTGACATCAAGCCATTGTTTGAGAAATATGGCAAAGTCGTGGAATGCGACGTGGTAAAGAATTATGGCTTTGTGGTAAGTATATCACATTTATTGGATCAGCAGTTTGATTAGTAAAATCTGGCAGTGATATATCAATAAAGGATTACACACGTTTTATTTGACACAGCATATGGAAAATGAGGAAGCAGGTCGGAACGCTATACAGAATTTGAATGGTCATATGGTTCATGGGCAACCAATAAAATGTGAGGCAGCGAAGAGTCGCAAGGGACCTAACACTCCCACGACGAAAATCTTCGTTGGTAATCTCACAGACAACACGAAGGCACCGCAAGTGCGCGAGTTGTTTGCCAAGTATGGTACGGTCGTTGAGTGCGACATTGTTAGAAACTACGGTTTCGTTCATCTGGAAGCAACGGGGGACGTGAATGATGCTATCAAGGAGCTGAATGGACAAATCGTCGATGGACAGCCGATGAAGGTCCAGATTTCTACCAGTAGGGTGAGGCAGAGGCCAGGGATGGGAGATCCGGAACAATGCTACCGATGCGGACGAGGCGGTCACTGGTCCAAGGAGTGTCCCAAGGGTGGAATGGGAGGTGGACCGGATAGGAACGGATATAGAGACCGAATGTTTGGACGTGATCCCTATCCTCCACCACCGCCACCACCTTTCCTTCGGGACCGGCTCATGGGTGGTGGCCGCTTCGGGGTAAGTTTTCCATCTTATTACAAAAAAAAAGAAAACTACATTCAGAATATTTATTATCAACGATAACTGGTGAATAACATGAATAATTTGCTTTGAGATACTTTTTCGTCTATTAATTTGTCATTTTATCTTTTATTAACAGGACTACGAAAGCTACTACGACAGGCGAGGCTTCGAGGACACCAGGGATCTCTACGAGAGGCGGTTTACGGGTATGACAGGGCCCTGTGACATGGGAAGTTCCATGTGCGGGCTAGACTTTCCACCAATGACAATGCCACCCCCAAGACGAGACCCAATGCCTCCTATGCCTCCTCTAGGTATGGGATCCATGCGCGACACTGGCTTCTCCCGTGGTAACGAGTATGGAATGTTCAGCCGCCGATCCCCCCCTCCTAGTGGCAACAACGGCCGGTTCAGGTGAGTAGGTACTTGGCGTACCGACTGCTCATTCGTCCGACTTAACATTGTGAACGTTCCAGGCTGGATTAACAGCTCATGCGAATTGGGGTTCGGTGATTCGTCGACATATTTTTCTAGTCAGTCGTACACTTTCTTTCTCTTGTCACATAGATCTCGGCTTGTATCTCCTTATAATATCCTTATTTTTTTCTCCCACAAAATAGCTAATGTTAAGTCTCGATAGGTTGCACGCGACCGCGAGATTAACAATGTTTATATCTGCTCCGTTATAAATCTCTCTGCCCTTTTCGCTATTTTCGTTAAATGTACAGACTCTTTTATCTCTTCGTTTTATCTCCTTACTTTTTTATCGTCGTGCGTTACAAACGGAACTTCTCCTCTCTTCGACAACGTTACTGCGCGGTACAACGCATGATCGCCTATGCAAATAATATTACTTTCTTATATTTGAGATTTTAAGATAGTACTTTTTATACACACGTACGAGTGTCGACCCGATGCCCACATGAGTGCAGACTCCGTCGTAGTGAAATGTTAATTATATGACGCTTGGACGTTTCTGTACATTCTAAATTTCAGTGCACCTCAGGCGTACCATCTTTGTCCATGAACGCGGGCAACCCTAGAGAGACAGTCCCGGGTCAGCGTTCAAGTCGTACAAGAGTAAGTCTTTGACTCATTTTGTTAGCGAGTAGTCACGCCTCGTTCTTGTCGCTGCAACAACAACCCGCGTCAGAAATACACAGCAGCCGCCTACGTCGTCTGCGTCCCATGGTGTCTGAATCTTTTTTTTCCGGGTCTCGACTGATTGTGCCTTGAACATGTCGACTGCTCTTCTAGGGATGTCCTTGTTCATAGACTCTCTTGTTCCATGGCATTAACTGCGAGATTGGCCTGTATGTCTCTCACTGAATCCTTTGTGTTTCAAGCGCTCCCTATTACGTACAACACTCAGCCGGGAGTGGCGCGGAGGCCTGGGATGAAGAAACGTTCCTAAGGAATGCGAACTAGATTTCTTGATCGCACTACCGCGAGCCAGGATACGATCTGCAATTTTAAACTCGTACGCTGTAGATAGAGAAAAGAAAGAAAAAAAAGAAACAGGGCTGGCGCGATTTTGGAACGGCGCATCGAGAATTGATTGTCTTTGAAACGTGTCGTAAGTAGAAACCAGCTCTCCAGACGAATTGGATCAGTAAGTTTACATGAGTATACGTATTGGCATTTCCTGTTATCTTTCCAAACCAGTTTTTCAAGCTTGTGTACATAAACTATGGTAATATTAATCAATTGGAATCAATTTTTGACGTGTACGAATATTTTTTGTCGTCTTGAATTACGTACTAATTCTTGAGCAATAAAATATTAGTATATAACATATTCGAAAAATTTAATATTAGCAATATTTTTAAAAATATTTCTGAATTAAATTTGACCATCTTGTTTTTCTTTTCTTTTTCTTTCTTTTTTTTTTAGTTATAATTTTCTTTAGTCTCAAAAAGTATTACATTTCGCTGTAAAATTTAATTTTTTCTTTTTTTTTCTTTTTTTTTAAATGATTTATTTAATGCAAGATTTTTTTATGTCATGATATAAAATGATGTCAATTAGATTTAAAATAAGCTTTGAATTTTCAAAATTATTATTGGTAACACCGCTTAAATTTACAAATTTTACGAAAAGGGCAATAAAAAATTTTGTTAAGGATTTTGTTCGCGTTCTTCGAAATTACAAATCATAGTTCTTGAAGCTGAATTCTACTCACGAGGTTCAAAGCTTTTCATGTATGTAAATCCATTCGCAACGTTCAAATAGAAAACCAGAATTAATTGAATTTCTCAGTTTTTCTAAATACTTTGAATTTGTTGTTGCACGTTACCACCTTATTACCCCGTACAAATTCCCAGCCTGGGCTGCAAATAGCTCTTATCTGTTATATGATAATACACTCGGTTTTTGCGAAGCTGTAAGTTGCAACTCGCATGGGTTAAAAATCCAGTCTACCGCTGCCTGCCTCATATGACTAGCTGTATCCAATGTTTTCTGTATTGACCTTGTTCTTCATGTTGACAAAGTTAGTTCCTCAGATGAATTCATCAGCCGCCTGATCAAGTTGTACAGATAGCGGATAGTGAATCACTAGTTGTTTGCACTCTTCTTTTGTAAATTCTCTAGATTTTTAAATATTTGTTGCGTTTCTGCGGACGATTTCCAATCGTCACACGATCCGAGGGGCTTTTTCGAGTCTGCTTTTCCATAAATATAAAAATTTTCTCCTCACCTATACCAACCAGGTTGTACGCGCCTGCGCACGTGTATGTGTGTTGCTGTAGAGAGATAGGTGAACAACTTTGATAATAACTTGTGCATAGTTCATCGACAGGGTTATCCTAAGCTGTCAGAATGTAACAGACGCGAAACATTCCATCCGAAGTTGACAGTCATATTAGGCGAGGCACGCGAGATTCTCTTTCCTTGCACGTGAATATATACAGGGACTAATTCACAAAGTTAAGCCTTGGACAAGGGAGCCAGTATATGGTATATGTTGATCTGATCTCACTTGGTAGATTCGATTATTTATTATACCGCTGTTATAGTAGAGGCATGTACGAGGACTTCAGCCGAGATTCGTTTGAAGAGCGTAGGTAAGTAGAGTGAAGTGTCACTGGGTCACAATACCACGCCCAAATAGAAATCCTTTCTTATCAATCGCGATTTTAGAGCCGATATGATAAACCGCCCTCTTCTTTATGTTATGATCCTTGCCAAGGGTAGTGTCTTCGCTTTTGTTTGAAATCTCCCAATATCTCGATCGACATTGTCTTACTCTATCCCACGCGAATCGTGAATCGTGATCAGTGATCAGTGATCAGTGATCAGTGGTAGGAGGCATTTGCATAGGGCATCATTGAAAAACTTTGCATCCTGGGAAGTGTTGCCTTTTTTTTCTTCCATTTTGAATGAAGTAATAATTGAGAAATATTTCCAAGTGCGGTCTTTCATAAAGAAGAGTGCTCGGAAGAGTAATATTTAACGCGAGTTGCACGAATATTCCTCTTGTCGTAAAACGAAAGAATTAGCAAAAAAGTCGGCGAGAAAAACGAGGTATTCTCCGAGCTGCTGTATCCAGTCCTTTTTTATCTATTTCTTTTTTTTAATCTTCAATATGTATATGTATATATATATACAATATATATATGTATATATATATATACACGTACAATTTATTCATGTACTGTTACACTCTACATTTCTCTCTTTTCTGTTTTCTTTCCTCATAAGTATTTATAGCCTTTACATTTTCAATCTATATTTTAGCCCGTGTTTTTAACCCGTATCATCGATCCCGTGTAACTGACGTGACTTAATTTTGATTACCAGACCGGGATTACGAGGGCCATCGCCGGCGCGCCGGTTCGCACCGTACTAAATCGTCGCGTCGGGCTCGGATCGGTCTCTGTCGGTCGTCGGTCCGTCGGGTCTGTCTGTCGCTAGCAGGAAGCCTCGGAACCGAGATACTCTTGGCCGTCTTGCGAACTGCACGCGCGAAGATCTGCCGCCCGCTCTATGAGAACAAGTGCTACCCGCAGTGCGATCTGTTTAGACGAAAAAAAACGGATACAAAAGTAGAGCAAAACACACAGACGAAATACAGCCAGCCAAAAGTAGCAGAGACACGCAAAAAAGAAAAAAAAAACAGAACTTCTGAGAATTATCACCTGTCGCACGACGAATCCCTCTTCATGGACTCCCATTTATCGATCCTATCGTACCTTACGTTACCCGGTCTCATTGCATTCGCCCGCACCCCTCTGTGTCATATATTTGTATAAAATCAAAGTTAGAGTATCCTCGACATTAAGAATTCGATGGGGCTCCACCGCGACGACTCCTCGATCCTTCGATCAACAATTTTTTTCAACAGACATTTTTTAACGAAAAATTTTCCCATCGTCCTTTTGAAGGCTTCGAACCTTGTAACGTCAATTTGCGTGATTGATTTGTCGCAAATTCCGAAAATGCGGGATCGACGAGCGTTTCGATGGGGCCGGTATTTTGCGGCGACGCGAAAGCAACCAATATTTTCAAATACGTATTTTCTGTAACAATTGTCGTATCATCCCTGGCCTTCTCTCCGTTGCGCAACAATCGATAGACTCGTGTCGCGCGCGTACGCGTCGCACACCGCCGAGTGTTTCTGGATGAATAACAAACGATGAGTACGGCGTAATTCAACACTCCGCTTGTTTGTGTGATATCGCCGCGCACGATTGCGTCGCACGTGAACACGATCTCCGCGCCGCTAGACCAAATACATTCAGATCGAAAAAAAAATAAGTAGCGCTCGCCGAATTCCCGTCGATCTTATATCTTATTTATATGTCATATGAGTGTAAGACCTTCCATCGCAATAGCGCAATACTTTGATTAACGATCTAAATGTTGCAAACAAAATGCGGATAAATTGTACTAGGGACTATTTGTACTTCGTCGTCACGCATCTTGATCGTAACTCTTTTTCTCTTATTTTATTAATCAAGTAGATCTATTAGCGGGAATCGCGGATTCTAAAAACTTGTGAAAGGGAGGAACCCTCCGAGCGAGTAACTTGATACTTTCGAAAAATCAAGCGGGAGCAGGCCTCGTCCTCCGAGACGGTCAAATCTATGTCGCTCCGACAACAAATATTCCATTATTTTTAACGAATAATTTTGTATAGAGACGCAAATTAGATATCTTAAGTTTTTAACATACTCGCGAGGGAATATCGAAAAGTTGTAAGTCGTGCTTTAAACAAAACATTTGAGATTTTCCCCCTCCCCAAATGGGGCGGTAAGCGTGTAGATTCGACCATTTAGAAAATCTGTTTCCATATTTGCTGTTTCAAAACTGAAGTTGAAAAAGATGATAATTAAAAACTTGGACCCGCCGTAGGATGCGCCGATTCTGTATGGAAAAACCTAAGCTGAACATTATCGTTAGCATATAGTAACGTAATCATTTTATTAACGTAGGATTAACTCTGACATAAAGAAAAAGACGGTGTTGTAGTTTGTAATAATCGCACTTTCGTTATTATTTTTTTTCTTTTTTTTCTTTTTTTTTTTTTTGAGCGTAGACACTGTAAGCCTTTTTTTCTTGTATTATCCTCTCTACGCCTTTTCTTTTTTGCTGTGAACGACCGTGTTTTTTTTCAGAATTATATAAATTATAACCATGATAAGATTAATAATGCTGAATATAAAAGAAATGTAATAACAATGTAATTGTGAAACTGACAAAAACGACGTGTGTTACGTGTTTCTTTAATCACACCGACCGCTCCGTCTTTCGCGGCATACCCTTTGCCAGCAACAACCACCATCCACAAAAGAAAAACCCCCCGCCTGTCCATCTCGAAAAATCTTGATCGGGCGCGCGCGCTTCCTTCACTGGCTTCCTGCGAATCGCGCGCGCGTTTCCGCTTCGCGCTCGCTCAACAGAAAACACGTGAAAATCTCGATCCAGAACGCGCGCGGCGTACTCGGTCGTGTCGCTCTCTTTGCAGGTCACCCTTTGTGCGCGCGTCTCAGACGCTCAAATCTGATCGTCTCGATTCGTAGATTGAGTTCAGCAATATTTCCCATCGAACAACTCGAGCTGTTTCTGCTTTTCTGTATTTTTATTTAATTGCGATAGAGTGCAATCTCTACAACATGAATTAAACGATTATTTCGATTTGATTAAACAGGCTGTTACGATTCAGTTAATCGGTATTCAATCTTTATTTTAATGGTTGTACTGATTAATTCTAATTTGGATAGACGTTGCACTTTGTCAATTGATATCACATTAAAAATTGAAGTCTCTCACACGACATGACTATTCCACATTCATGTGTGCACAGTCCTGTCTCGTCAACCTTTTTTTCTCTCAATTCTGTCACGCAACTTCCTGCCATCCTGTCTTATTTCCACCAACATTTTACTTTTCATAGGATTTTCGCATGTTGATACATGTATAAATATAGGATGTCCTAAAATTATCAATGTCCCGCTAGCCATGTAAAATCTGATAATTTTATCGACTTTAGCATGGTAAAAATTTTGTAGGAAATTATTTGACGACTTTAATTTTAATTAAATATTAAATATCTAAAGAATTAGTATAAATCTGGAGATAATTAAACTTTGTCAAAATTAATTTAGATATTAATAATTAAATAATAAGATTTGAGATTAAACTTGGTTAGAATTAATACTTTAATTTTTAAGACAATTTTTTTTAAGTTTTTTTAATCTGAAATTTAGTCCATACAAAATTATATAAATAACTTGTGTCTTTTTTAGATCATCTATGTGTGGCTGAAAGGACATTCGGTGATTCTGGCATATCCTATGTATTCCGCGACACCCTCGGTGCGTTTACGTGTCATTTTGAGTCGAAAAAAATAAAGGAATTGGAACTCAGCGACGCGGCCGTTTTCTTCGGATCCACTTAACTAATTATTCGAAATCAATTTAAAATTCAAGAAGCTTGTAATCCGAATCTCTTTTATAAAATTTTTCAAAAAAATTTTTACACATTTGTCACATCCGTTCGATATTTTTCATCGCGAACCACCGCCCCATTCGTATTAAACGAATATTAGTTAAGCAATACGTTACTGTCAATCTTTTTTTCATTTCTAAGGTGATTACAACTTCAGGCGTGTTTCTCTATACTCGATGAGCCTTTTTTTTCCTTCTCTGCTATCACTTGTCTCAAACTCAGTAGTTAAGAACGAGGATTGTAACGTGTTATAGTTTCACACAATATGCACAAAGATCTCGATGTTGTAGATACGCGAAATATCTATGGCATCGGAAATTGAAATCATTTGTGAGATTATAGCGACCTCGATCCTTGATTTCTCTATCTCTGTCTTAAAGAATTTAAGGGCCATTGTAGTGAGATTCGCCGAGCACATGTGAAATCGCTCGTTGTATGACTGGAATGTTTTCAGAACAATTGGCACTGCGGATGAGGTGGTTGCGCACGACCTAACATATAGCGCGAAAAAGTCAGTTCATCATGCATACACGGACGTGGAATATTAATTTTTTTTTTAATACGTATTAAAATGAGAAAAAGACAGAAAAAAAGATAACGGATTACGATAAGTTTGCTACATATATCCTCCTCGCTTTAATAATACAAGATGAGATATCCTGTTTTGTATGTCTGATTCATCATTTACGTGTGATTTTTTTTGCAAGTTCTTATTTTTTAATAAATCTCAAAACACGTGCGAACGACATCTCCTTGAATTGTTGTGAGACTTCACCCACTCTTCTTCCGGCTGGCTCTCTCGAACTAGGCTGAGTTTGTTCGTCGAAAGCGATGTTGTATCGTTTGTAGATTGAAACTCAAACTGAGAAGGACGAAGAAAGCCTGCTAATTGGTATTCATGATTATGTTTTTTTTTCTATAAACTTAAACAATTTAAGTGATGAATTTATTGAATTAATCCAATGACGTAATTTTCAGATTGCCGCTTTTCTTCTTTCTTCTCGGACAAGCTGTTGTCCCTATTTTTAAGCATAGGAAAAAAAACTTTACCGTCCTCCCAACGCATTTACATCTCTGTATGGTAGTAGCGCGAGCTATTGTTCACCTGCATAATTCTTTCGATTAAAAGCCAAAGTTAAAGTCCTTGCTGTTTCCAGAGGTACCGAACAAACGCGCAAGTAAATGTAAATAGATAACCGAGCAAATATCATTCTTTTTGTATCTTAATCTGATTTGTATCAGTATGTACATGGTAATGCTTATTGTTATGTGCCAGTCAAACTTGCAGACTCGAAGGTTGAGCAGGTCTACAGAATCGGATTTGGCTGGAGATCGCTTTTCTGCAACGATCAACGGCAGGCGGGAGAGGCGCCCGGCCACGTTCTGTAGCTAATCACGCAGTCACAGCGCGATTCTCCCCAAAGTTACTTTAAGATAACCGAGCGAGCCTCTGTCAGAACGACTTTGGAACACGAATGTGTAGAAAACCAGGCACGCTACTACTCGATCATCTCTCCATACTGAGATATGGTGAGCAGATTTCTGTCCGATAATAAGTAGCTATTTGAATCGGGAGCTCGGTCGATTTGTATTCTAAATCGTCGCGAGAGAGGAGGTCGGATCTTCCTCTTTCGTCGCCTTCGGTCGCAAGAGTTGCGAGTTTGATCGGCGCATAGCGAGCGCGTCGTCGATGCCCGGTTAACTTTGGCTTTATCGTACAAGCGCACGGAATCGTTCCGTCGAGATCGGGAATTTCCCGGCGCATGATCGTCGACGAGAACGTACACCAAGTGCCTCAGAACCAAGGGATACTTTTGTATCCAATATTTAACTGAAGAATCTAATCAATTTGCTGAAGAAAGAAAACACTAAATTATATTTGTATTAATTTCTCAATTAAATTTAAATTTACACTAAATTTCATGATTAAACTTAAATTTTTTCATTCTTGAAAGAAGTAGGTTATACTGTTGGATAAAATCCTTAATTATTATTCGAAACATTAAGAATGGGATAACTTTTGAAAATCAAATTTCTCACTGAACTGGTTTTGAGACAATCTTAACAATTTGGAACGCCTTTTCTTTTACTTTAAAAAAAAATTTTTTTAATTTTTAAAAAAAAATTTTTTTTAAAACGTTTTACTTACAACCTACGCATAGCATACCG